TTTTATGTGCATATCAAAAAGCAGGGGTGGCAATACTGGGCAGAGAGGAGCTTAACAAGATTAACTCCTAGGGGCAGTGCCTTTTTTTCTGGGGGGACGCAGGCATACGCATACCCCTAAACATTTTGTGAATCTAACAAGAGAAGAAACCAATTAAAAAAATAATAAAAATAATAGCTTCTTCTCTAGCACGGTGAATTGTCAGTTCCGTTGCTACCCCTGATGGCAGCCTCATTTCCTGTCATGGTGTTTCCTGAGTCTCATATGGAATGATAGTACCCCCTAAACATTTTTTATAGAAAAAAGGACTGCCTAGGGGAGAGAACAAATGTCTCCCAGGACCACCTTCTAGAATCTGTAACACAGGTAGGAGCAGGTAGGTATGCTTCTTCCCCTGCTCTTGAACCTTGGACATTACAGGAAATGCTCAGAACAGACTACAGCTCTTGAAGAATGCACAGGCACCACACATTCTCACACGGGGGCAGGGAGACAATGAAATAAAAAGAGAGGCCAACAAAAAGGGGGATTAGAAAGAGGGAATGAATTAAAATGGGTTTTTAGGGAGGGAAATGCTAAGAGAGGGGAGGGAAGGGGAGGGAGGGGCAGGGCTTAAGTCTCAAATTACACCTGACACCTCAAAGCGGTGGGGCACCTGTCACTTTGGCAAAAGGTATGCATAGTATACTACTAGTGTCCTGTCCAAGGATACACACTCTCAAACCTCCGAAGGGGATAGAACTACAAAGAGGGCCTCCTCTGTTGATCGTAACACCTGAGTGGGTCTGCAGAGGATTTGGGGGCTAAATCATTTGGGCTTTAAACACGAATGTGAGCAGCTTTAATTGGGCCCAGAAATGAATGTGAAATCTTGTGCTTTCCAGACATTTTGGACTAAACACCCATCAGCCCCAGCCACCACAGTGAGCAAAGAAATTTCTAACTTCAAAGCTGGTCAGAAACCTGACTGATAAGGATACAGCTAAGCAGATTTACCCAAGATACTGTGCACCTAGTCACCCATTGCCTGTTAACCATCTTGTCCCAAAATGGAAAATCAGGACTGGTCTATAACTACCTAGGTCACTAGATGGTCACAAATCTATCAGACCTCCTTCAGGAAAACAGGAACAGATCCCTCAGTGAATGAGAAATCTGTTAACCTCTAGCAACTTGCTATTATTAGAAAGTTCAAGAGTTGAGCAGCCATATTATGGCACAGACTTTCCTAAGTTCATCCTCAGGGTTAATAATCTGAAAACTCACCCAAGCAACTGTGACTAATGGATGCTAAGCTGATTGCTGGTACAGACCCTGACATAAATGGAGCACCCAAATAAAATGGTTGTGACAAGACTTTATCTGGAAAATATAGAGCAAACTATTCAGAGTGGACTACAGATAGTTCTATGTGTTCACCCTCACAACTGGAAAAAGCTGTGCTACGTGGCTGTTTAAGTGTACTTGTGAAAATGTTGCAAATAAGCATTTTGCTGGTTCACTGTCACCTTCTTAACAGAAGCAAAATTGCTCACTGATTAAATGGCTAGGACCCTGTATACCTCAGAATGTATCAAGGCCATCTCCCTGATTCTGTCCTCCATATATTGAATAAGAACAGTGGGAGAAAGGAGAGGGGCATTATTTGTGGTTGTTTCTTAGTGGAAATCTGCACTTCTGGAGGTTTGTCGTATCCAAGCCAGGTTTTTCCTTAAAGTGATGTATGACTATTTTACAGATAAGGTTGAATGAATATACAGTAGAAAGTTATGTCATGTGGAATACGTTGCAAAAGAGGGCTTTGCAGATGAAAAGTCATGTAAAATTAGCATGGGAGGGGGTCAGGATTGCACCAGTTGGCACCACCCCCAACTTATATGGAACCATAGAATAAATGAATTGTAGAGTGGAAAGGCAATGTCAACTAAAGCATCAATGACAGATACCCATGCAACCTCTGCTTCAATGAAGGAGAGTTCACAACTTCTTGAGGGTGTCTGTTTCACTGTTGAATAGCTCTTACTGTCAGAAAGTTCTTCCTAATGTTTAGTTGGAATCTCCTTTCTTGTAACTTGAAGCCTTGGATTTGGGTCCTACCCTCTGGAGCAGGTGAAAACTAGCTTGCTCCATCTGTAAGCTTGCTTCCATGTGACAGCCTTTGAGATATTTGAAGATGGCTATCATATCTCCGCTTAGTTTCTTCTTATCCAGGCTAAACCTATCCAACACCCTCATCTGTTCCTCTTAAGACTTGGTTTCCAGACCCTTGATCAAATTGGTTGCTGTCCTTTGTACACATTCCAGCCTATCAACATCCTGGATATCTCGTACAGAGTTTAGTGCACGCTGCTATATGCATGTAGGCCAGTCTTATCCTGACCTACATTACATGTCATATACAAATACAGTGGCACCTCTGGTTACAGATGCTTCAGGTTACAGACAATTCAGGTTACAGACTCCGCTAACCCAGAAATAGTACCTCGGGTTAAGAACTTTGCTTCAGGATAAGAACAGAAATCACGTGGCGGCGGCAGCGCGGCGGCGGGAGGCCCCATTAGCTAAAGTGGTACCTCAGGTTAAGAACAGTTTCAGGTTAAGAACGGACCTCCAGAACAAATTAAGTTCTTAACCCGAGGTACCACTGTAAGGTTAATGTGAAAAAATGGTGTTTATTCATTTATTTGCAAAAAAATTATATACCATCAGTATTAACAAAAAGAATCATAGCAATAAACAGCATAAAATAAAAATAAAATAGCATTCATAAAACAATTACAAAATATATCACAAATCAGTAAATCAAATTAACACATCACCTTAGCTGGATCAACATAGCCAGATCACTCCTCAGGGGAAGTGTTGGTGAACTAAATGCTGTCTAAATGCCAATACAGTAGGTGCCTGTCTACCCAGTGTTCATTGAAAGCACATTCTAAAGGGCAGTTGCTGCCACATGGTAGGCCCTGGTCTTAGTTGACATAAGAGGAACCTAAGTACAAAGTAGACATAAGATGAGCAGCAGTACAAGGAGTGCCTCTCCCAAAGATAAAAGTTTCCAGGCAGAGGTAAACAAGGTAAGTCTTTGCTTCCATTGTTCCATCCCAGCTACAGAGTCCCACTGCTTCTCATTCTCTGCCTACATACATTGTTCCTTTCTTCCCATAATATGGGTCTCCACATGTACTGGTTAGAGTGTCAGATTATGACCGAGGTGGCCCAGGTTTAAATGCCCGTGTTCACTGCCTAACCCTATATCTTAGGAAAGGACTGAACTCTAGTAGTGGAGCACATACTTTGCATAATGTAAGTCGAAGTTTCAGTGCATGGCAACTCCAAACATGACTGGGAAAAGCCCTTGTCTGAGACCCTAGAAAGCCACTGCTAGTCAATGTAGGCAACATGGAGCTAGATGGACCAGTGATCTGAGCACAGCTTCCTATGTTTATGATCAAGTGATGATCTTTCTGCCCAACCTATCTCACAGAGTTGTTGCAGGGAAACCAGTAGAGATGGCTGAAACTTTCACTCTGCCCTATGCTCATTAGAGAAAGAGCAGAATCAACAAATGCAGAACAAACAAACAAACAAAAACAAATATGGAATCCACCATTAATATTTGCTTCACTTGTCATCTCAATAGCCTTCCACTGGTTGCACTGGTTGTTTACACCCCACCCCCTAAAATCTAAGTTCACCAACTCAAAGTTGTGTTATATATGCTCCAGTACAAAAACCCAATTCTGTTGCACCCCTGGGGCTGAACCCAGAGTTTCATGAGTGGTTCTGCTCTCAGAATGGAATGTTCTCAGGATTGCACTTCTCTTTTACTCTGCAGAAAAGTCTGCTACAAAGGATTGGGGACCCTCTGAATCACTATGGGAGACGGTGTGTGGTGCTGCATTGGATAGGAAAAACAGAGGAAATACCTCTCCACTTCCATTCATAGAAGGCCTCTGACAGATCCTCCAAACCATTATTTATTATTGATTTGATGTATTTATATTCTGTGTTTCTTGCAAGGCAATCAGGGTGATTCGCTATTTAAAATACTTTTTAAAAAATTTACAATAGAGAAAAAGCAGCAGAGTTGTCTCAGGCAGTTGGTGATCTCCTTAGAAGCTAATGGTGTGAGCTGACCATTTGTTACTACTACTAGTAGTATAACATTAGGAGGTATATCCCTGGGTGCTCAAAAGGTGGGAGGGAAGTATACAGCTGAACAGTTGGTGGCTTCTTAATATACATTCAATAGCATAATGCCTGTGATTGACTACAACATGTGGGTTAATTGGGGCTTAAAGCCCACAATTCATCTGCTGACACACAGGAAGGTAGTGATGCTCTATCACATTTAGTATTGCCAGATTCCCCCCCCCTTCCTTTGGCAGGTCAGCTGTGCCTTTAAAAGAGGCCTGCAGAACTTGCGATGCACCAAGGCAAATGCAACCCGCCCCAATGAAGAGTGGCCTACAAAGGACTTGGTAAACTTCCAAAATCTGGAGGATTATGAACCAACAGCATCTATTGTGCACTTTTCTTTTGACAGTGTTTGTACGTATCTAGTTATGAAAATTGCTATAACGGTGTTTATTATGATACTCTACCACAGTCTTCAAGTTCAATACCTTTAATGGCGTGACTCAGTTATGTACTTTTTTCTCCATTTCATTCAATTTATTTATTTTTAAATGAAAATTAAATGAATATCTATGACAATACACTTTAAGTAGATTTTTGGTTGTTTTAAACATTAAACTGCATTTTTATAAGCTTGTAGTTCCTCGTGATATAACATGATATAACACAGGACAGCCCAACTTTTCATACTAAGCGGGCCACAGTACTTTGACATGGAACCTGTGGGCCAATACACTGCCTTGTCGTGCACACATGGGGAGGGGCAAATGCGACCAAAATTTGACAACCCCACAGCCCTCATGCTGCCTTCCCAAAGCTAGCTAAGCAAGGCACTGAACTTTGGGAAGGAGGTGTGAGGCTCTGGCAGGGTCCTAGAGCCCGCCCACCTCCTTCCCTAAGCTGGGCTTTTGGGAAGGAGGAGGGAGGACTCTAGAACCCTGTCAGAACCTTATGCCTTCTTTCCAAAGCCCAGTGCCTCACTTACCTGGTTTTGGGAAGGCAGTGTGAGGGCTGCAGGGGTTTCAAATGTTGCTGAGAGCTGCCAAAAAAAGGCCTTGAAGGCTGCATGCTGCCTTCGGGCCACGCATTAGACCACACTGAACTATGTTAGTTTAATCAGCTAGTAAATGACTAGCTTTACATATATTTTTATTGTCCCCCACCCTGAGATCTTAGGATTAATGATATTATAATAGTCACATTATTTTCTTATGGTATGATAACCATTTCAGTACTTTCTGCCCATATCTATGATGAGGAGTTAGCACGTGTGACTTCTAAGAAAGCCATATATAGATGGTAAAAAGGTAAAGGAACCCCTGACCATTAGATCCAGTCGTGACCGACTCTGGGGTTGCGGTGCTCATCTCGCTTTATTGGCCAAGGGAGCCGGAGTACAGCTTCCGGGTCATGTGGCCAGCATGACTAAGCCACGAACCAGAGCAGCGCACGGAAATGCCGTTTACCTTCCCGTCGGAGCGGTACCTATTTATCTACTTGCACTTTGATGTGCTTTCGAACTGCTAGGTTGGCAGGAGCAGGGACCAGTGATGTAGCGTGGGGGATGCAGGGGGTGCTGGCCGCACCAGGCGCAATATCTGGGGGGGGGGGCGTGCTCGCACTCGCAGCTCTCTGCCCCTACCTGGCTCACTCACTCTCTCTCACTGCAGTGCTGGCTGTGCGAATCCGATCCGAGCCGCTGGGTCGCTGCCCACTGTGGAGGGGGTGGGTGCCAGGCGTGCGGTGCGGAGAGAGAGCGAGGGACTATCTGGGGGAGGGACAGTGCAGCGGCCGCCCAGCGCTGAGCGTGGGAGAGAACCACACCAGACCAGACCAGGCAGCAGCAAGAAGAAGCTGGCAGCGGTGGCAGGTTAGGGGTTAGGGGGCGCAAATTACTTGCCTTGCACCGGGTGCTGACAACCCACGCTACGCCGCTGGCAGGGACCGAGCAACGAGAGCTCACCCCGTTGCAGGGATTCGAACCATGACCTTCTGATTGGCAAGTCCTAGGCTCTGTGGTTTAACCCACAGCACTACCCACGTCCCTATATAGATAGTAATTAAACAAAATTCTGTCTTTCAAATATTTTAGAATCATAGGAAACTACTGTAGATACCAGGACAGAATATTTATATATCTAATTCAGTTCTGTCAGCTCCAGGGGGTCATCAAACTTTTTTGGGCATACAAGCACATTTGCCACCTGCCCTGGAAGGAAATCCTGTTCTTTAATCCTGAATAGAACTGGAATCTGGAGAAGGAACCTTGCAGGTGTCATCAAAAGGGCACACATGTGCTTGAGAGTGCCACATTGGCAACCCCTGATCTAATCTGGCTGGCCACATCTTTCTAGGGTCTGGGGCAGAGGTCTTTCACACAACCAGCTCCCTTGACCCTTTCAACTGGAGATGTCAGGGCCTTTTTCATGCAAAATATATGCTCCAGCATGAAGTGAAAGTCCCTCTCACTTTGAGTCTCCACTTAGAACATCTGCCAGTCAAAATGTATGAGTATTTGTGATAATGCTAATTCCTGTGATATCCAATAAAAAGTGCAAGAAACTATGGGTTGTGTCCAACTAAGTTAGAGTAGACTCATTGACATGAATGGACTGAAGTTAGTAATGTCCATTATTTTCAATTGGTCTGCTCCAAGTAGGAATAACATTGGAAGCAACCTGAATTTGGCAGCTCCCATCTTCACATTGCCTCCAACTTTCTTCTGAGGAAACTACACATGTGAAGTAAGTAAGAAAGGAGTGCTATATTTATGGACGTGTCCACCACAAATGTAATGGTTAGCTTTGCAGCTTCAGGCTGAGACCAGAGTAGTAAAACAAATGCTGCCTCACACATTTAATGACTTGTATCAGCAGCTTAGAGTTTCTATAGCCCCCCTGAGCAAAACAGCATGAAACAGTGGAGGCACTAAAGTAAGGAGACAAATAGTAATAATAACACAGATGCTTTGGGTTTTGATCTACATCCTTCTGCTTGTATCCATGGCCTTTAGCAAAACGTGATCTATCAGTAGTCTCACTCCTCCTTCCCAAAAAGCAGATATGAAAAGAAAGTAATGTATAATAAAGAAAAGCACTTCTCGGCATACATAAAGGGCTTTTCCATCCCACTGACAACCTGTTCCTGTCCAGGATTAAAGAATAGGATTTCCTCCTAGGGCAGATGGCAAGGACTGAACTGAGCCCTACTATCGTCCTGTCAGGATCAGCTCAGAACAAGATTAAAATCCTCCCCAGAGGAAGCCCCTGTCACTAGGCCTACCATTTATGTCTGAAAGAGGGAAGTGGTGGCCTTCCAGATGTTGTGGGACTCTATCTATCATTAGTCTCAGACATCATTGCCATTGAGATGTGGGCTGTAGTCCGTCAATATCAGCTGGACCACAGGTTCCCCATCTCTGAGCTACAGGTTTCAAGGGAGTCAGCAGACCCTGAACAATCACCCAAATAAATGTTGTGCTTGGGTATTCAATGGACCCAGCCAACCCTAAATTGTCTCAGATGTCAGCTCCAACCTTGCCAAGATCACACTCAGAAGTGGAGGCAGCAGCATGGGTTGAGTGAAAGCCCAGAACCAAAGGCAAAGTGCCTGTCTTGAAGCATCCTTAAGCCACACTCAAGAGGGGAAAGCCCATCCTTAAATCATGCTCAGGAAGGAAAAGCTTGTCTCAACATTTGCTTGAACTAGGATCTTGCTGACACTTCAGAAAGTAGTGGGGCAGCTATCAAGCTGCTTATTTGTTACTTATCCAGTGTTGATTTCTTTCTATTATTAGTGTCTCATAAACTGGACAGCTCCTCTGCTATGTTGAACACTTCAGCCCCTGGACAGCTCTCTAGAAAAATGAGCATCTGAGCCACATTTAAGTGGTACTGCAAACATGATGCCACATCCTTTCTCAACATTCTAAGAACGTAATCCAAAAGGGTGTTGGCTTTTTAGAGTTAAAATGAAAATAAAATATTTCAAGTGTTAGCCATTTACCACTGCTAAACTTCATTCCTACACTCTCCACTTAGCAATACTTACTTGGAAGTGTTGCAGTCACAGCTTTGAGAAAATTCCTAGCTAACAAATTCTGTTTCCCTTACCATTTCCTGAGCAGCATTGCACTGACAAATCATTGTCGGATCCCTAAAATATTTGAAATGAACATTTATGTGAAATACAGAGCTATCATGAAGATGATATGTTCTTGTAAGTGTATACCTTAAAAAGACCGCCATGGGTCAATTTCTTGGTCAAGATTTTTAAAAATGCAAAACAGTAGTGAGCAAGCTTTTTGAGTTCTTCATAATAATTCTTCAGACTAGATGTTTTTTTAAAAAAGGAGAAGGAATGGAGAAAAAGTTGGGCATAATGAAAAAGCCATGAAGAGGAGCCAAGTTGGATCAGATCCTAGAACTGTTTAGTCCAGCAACTTTTTCTCCACAGTGGCTGACCAGATGCATAAAGAAAGCTGACAAGCAGGATATGAGGGCAATAGTCATCTATGAATCCTCTGCAATTTGTATTTAGAGGCATGCTGTTTCTGATCCTGGAGGATTGTTACATTCTTAAAATTGAATGCAAAGGAAGTTATGAAGAGTTAATTATATTAGTATGTAAAGTGCAAACCAGGTTTTAGGTTGCATCAAGGACTGTTGGGGTAAAGAAACCTCAATGACTGCTTCCCTGGATTTTGGAAATATAAAAATCAGAGGTTAAGTGGAACACACAAGTCCCTTGTGAGGAAGAGAGCAGAAGTAATGAGAAATGTATTTACCTTTACATTAGCAAAGCTGTAGCTTAAGTTTAGATAGTGCAGTAGGTAAAGAGTCAAGAGAAGTCACATTGGGTAGCATTACCTAGTAGCTGGAGGGCATATCATCCCTAAAAGCTAAATCTCATCATTAGGTGACAAATGGAATGGAGAAGAAAGGGCACAGAGTGATACCACAAATTTAACAACCAGTAAAAGTACTAGAATCACAATAAGAATACAATTGCATGCCAAGACCCTGTGACCCACAATTCCCTAGGGGATAATAAACACACGGACATGAGTATTTGGGTTTATGGGTACAAATAGGCCACAACTTTATTGGTTACAGATGTGAGTGGTGTGGCTTAGGCACTGAAGCCTGGCTATATTTCAACTCCCGCTCATCTGCAGGTTTCCATCTAAGGGTAAACCACCAATAGGGGGAGCCCTGTGACTTGCATCAAATAGGGGTCCCCCTTGGAGTTGTGGCATGACCCTAGCCCATGTCTGGGCATTGGACAGAATCCATACACCCCAGATCCCTTTAACAGGGTATCCTTAATGAGGAGGGGCAGGCGGAGGCTACAACCTCCCCTCCATCCAAACAAAGGCTTATCCAATGCCTAACCTCACAAAGTTGTGATGATTGCTACAAGGTAGGTGAAAACCAAATGGCTGGTGCCAATTTGCCAAATGGGAATATTCCTATCGAGCCCCAACAATATGGCAACCAAAATTTGTCCATAGCAAGGTCGTGTCATAGTATAAAAAAGAGGGTGGGTGGGTAGGGAGTTCCAGCAAAGGGTGCGAGTGGAGGTCTCCCTGGCCATGCAGCAGCTTAACTTTCCCATGGCCACACCTCCTGTCAGTGCTGATTGGTTGGTGGGGTCACCCCTTGGCATGGCTCCGCCCAGCGCAAGCAACGTGGCTCAGACAGCAACAAGGAGAACGTCAAGCTCTGCCCCCACCCCCCGCTGGATCACTGCAGGGGCCCCGATGCCTGGCTGCAACGTCGCCACCAGAAATGGTGAGCGGACTTCTGTATACAAAACAAGCAAGGGAATTTCAATCATATGCTTATAGTAGATGACTAAGAACACATTTGGAAGCGGTTTCAGTTTTATGCTCCTTATACATATTCTTGGTTTATTTATTTCAATCTAAGATTCTAGAGTGCAGGTGTTATTCAGTGTTTCCTCAGATACAGTACTATCATTCTTCACTAAAACCTATTGCTACCCCTCCCAGTTTGGTGTCATGTGCAAATTTGATGAACATCCCCTCAATTCCTTCATCCAAGTCATTTGTAAAGATGTTGAACAACAATTGGCCCAGGACAAAATGCTGCGGCACCTCACTGGTCACATTTTTCTAGGATGATGAGGAACCATTAGTGAGCACTCTTTGGGTTGGGTCAGTCAAGCTGCTACAAATCCACCTAACAGTTACCTCATCCAGCCCACATTCTTCCAGCTTCTCCACAAGAATATCATGGGGAATTTGTCAAAAGCCTTACTGAAAAAAACTTACTGAAACTCTCTGGGGTTTCAGACTGGGATCTCTCCTAGCCCTACCTGTATTGAACTTGTGACCCTCTGCAGGCAAAACAGAGATGCTAGCACTGAGCCAGAGTTCTTCCTCAAAGTCAACATCCATAAGCTATCACCATGCATATTGATTAGCTTGTTGTTGTTTAGTCGTTTAGTCGTGTCCGACTCTTCGTGACCCCATGGACCAGAGCACGCCAGGCACTTCTGTCTTCCATTGCCTCCCGCAGTTTGGTCAAACTCATGCTGGTAGCTTCGAGAACACTATCCAACCATCTTGTCCTCTGTCGTCCCCTTCTCCTTGTGCCCTCAATCTTTCCCAGCATCAGGGTCTTTTCCAGGGAGTCTTCTCTTCTCATGAGGTGGCCAAAGTATTGGAGCCTCAGCTTCAGGATCTGTCCTTCCAGTGAGCACTCAGGGTTAATTTCCTTAAGAATGGATGTGTTTGATCTTCTTGCAGTCCATGGGACTCTCAAGAGTCTCCTCCAGCACCATAATTCAAAAGCATCAATTCTTCGGCGATCAGCCTTCTTTATGGTCCAGCTCTCACTTCCATACATCACTACTGGGAAAACCATGGCTTTAACTATACGGACCTTTGTTGGCAAGGTGATGTCTCTGCTTTTTAAGATGCTGTCTTAAAAAGATTAGCTACTCCATTCAAATGTCAACACTGTGCAATACCGAGGCCAGGGGGCAGGGAGAGATGGATATGATTATTGGGTTGGGGTAGTAGACATAAACCTCAGTTACAAGAGAAGGAGAAAAATTAAATATGAAATTCTCTCTCTGCCTGGCCTTGGAAAACCCCTCCAGAAATGCCAATCTTTTTGAGCTCAGCTGATTTTACCTTCATCTTTTACAGCTCTGAATTTCAGCATTATGAATGTTCATTTATTGCACTGAGGACAACACATTTCAGCTTACAAAACACAAACCAGAGGTAGTCTTTCTGGAACAGCTGTAGAGACAGACTTTCATGTAAGAGTGAAGCTTCAGTAAGTTATGCTTCAGCAGAGCTAAGTGAAAGAAATAAGGGTTTTTGTGTGTGGCAAAGCTACACAGAGAAGAGACGGGGGGGGGGAGCATTAGTTTGTCTCTCAATTTGAGAAATAAGATTATTCAATGAATGGTGGATCAGATAAAATACAGTTATATACGCAAACTCTCAAGTATGCAATGATTACCTTTCTCTTTAACACTTGGTTTAAAAGTAGACCAAGATTTTGGAAAAGGCCCTGAAGCTTTAAAATAACTTTTCCTTACATGTGTAGTTAATAAAAGCCATAAAGATGCAGAACACATAGGTAGGGTTGAAAAGTTTTACACATTTTCCTGAATCCAGCATCTCATCACATTTTGATATTTGTTCTGGTGCTTTTTAGTTCTCCTATGGAGAGTTTATACAAATAAATCCCCTGAAATTTTATTTACTGACTGCTGTACTTGAATTCCTGAACTTTTATTTCCAAGGACCACCACTACCACCAAAGTTGCTATTTAAAAGTGAGTTAAAAGAGAAAGTTATAAAATATCCAGCAATTTCTTTTTAAAAAAAATCACCCAAGAACAGCAGCATTATAGCAAAAAAATGAAATAACAAAGATTCTGCAGGAGACAGTATCACCACCTGAAAACCAGGTTGCCTATGTTTACCAGTCAATTCACTTCTAAAATGTAATAAAATTTAATCTCAGCTAAAGGGACAGTTTCTTTACACATTACTAAGTCTACTACTTGATGCTTCGCTGTGACAACAGATGTCTGTTACAGATGGAAATTTACAGGAACTTTTCATGTCTTGCCTCCATCACTCTATGAATGCAACCCACCCACAGCTGCTTGGAATGTAGACAGGGGCATGGAATCTCGACACCATGCATGTGCAGTGAAGACAAATTTGGGCACACACATGGGAGGAGGACGTTTACAATATGTGTTTCAATGGTATTGGTTGATTTTGTGTGTCAGGCAACATGCCAGTTTTCTCTCATCTGCAGACTCCATGAGACTATAATCCCATGCAATCGCAGTCCAACCTACTTATGATTTTGTTTCATTTTAAAGCCGTATCTCCTGCCATTACACTCCTCTCTTTGCACCAAAGTAAATACTCAAGGACTACAATTAGGGGTTGAGTCCAGCCTGTAGCCACACCCCATCTATTTCTGAAAATACCTCCAGAAGCAACAGGTGATCATAGAGTACTTCAGACACCACCACAGATCCACTTTCCAAAATATATGGTCAGGAGTAGCCTAAGAGTGAAACTATTTCCCCTTGAGGTCTGATTTAGAAAGGGATTGTTTCAAGAGAGTTTCCCTGGTTATCTTAATAAGGCCATGACTAATCGAAAGCTGGAAAATACAACTTCCTTACACAAAAAGCAAAGATGAAATTGTAAAATCCAAAGTACGGCAATACTTTTATTATGTCAAACAAAATGTCACAAAAGAGTGGCCAAGAATTCAAAAGCTTGCTCATTATTTTGTGACATTTTGGTTAGCCTAATAAAGTTATTGCTCTACTATGGATTTAAAAAAAATCCTTAAATAGGTCATTTCAGGCTTTGGGGACAGGATTATGAGCTTGAAGAACAAGATACCTGCTTTCTTTCTTTCTTTCTTTCTTTCTTTCTTTCTTTCTTTCTTATTTCAGCGTATTAGATTTGCAACTCATGGACCAAGAGTTTACTGGGGACCATTGATTAATCCTATCCCATCTTTCTTTCCTACAGAATAAGAGTGACCTACCTTTGCTGTTGTAAGGGTGCATAAGATATAAGGCCCAGAACTTACTACTTATGTGGAACTTTTGTGTGTATGCCAGAGCTCTGCCCAAAACTTTGTATGAACTGTGCTATAAATAACAAGTAGCAACTTTTCTTGCATGCACAATGTGTGTGTTACAGGCAACCACAAACAGAAACTGTGCTTTTAAAAAATGTTGCCTGTGGCATCAACTTCATGTTGAGGATATGATCTGAAGGAACATGAGGCTACCACCTTGCTGCAGTGGCGTAGCGTGGGTTGTCAGCACCCGGGGCAAGGCAAGTAATTTGCGCCCCCTAACCCGTGGATTTGTGCACCCTAACCCTAACCCCCAGATGTTGCGCCCGGTGCGGCCAGCCCCCCTGCACCCCCCACGCTACGCCACTGCCTTGCTGTAGATATGCAGGTTTGGGTCTGGTCAGTGCCTGGATGGCTGACTGCCTGAGAACCCCATAAATACTACCTTGGATTCCATGACAGAAGAAAGGTGAGATACAGGTGTAAGAAAAATAAAATCACCATTGAGGTCAATGGAACTTACTCCCAGGTAAGTGGCTCTATGATTATAGCCTGATGACAACGTCCATTTTAGTGGGTGATCATGATATTTCTGTGCCTGAGTATTTGGTTTTGCTCTCCACACCCAGTAAACCCATCCTCACAAACACAGCCTTTTAAAATAGTTTCTATTAACTTGGTACACCATCGTCTTGATTTCTTAGATGATCATTTGTGATTACCACATGAAAGACAAACAGTTCAAATAACTCTATGAAAGGGGGGAAGGGAGCCTTGGTTTCCTGTGTTTCAACAGATGTCGTACTTAATTGGTTGCAAAATAAACCAGAGCTACATTCAGCCAGTTTCCCTTGTTTCAGCTGCGCAGACACTTTCAAACATGTGCATTCACCTCCTGTTTCTCTGTAAACGGGGGTGTGGTGCAAGAATCAAACTTCCCAAAAGGTGCAAATCGACAGGCATGCTGCATATATCCCTTTTATGTATTACTGATTAAACAGAAGGCAAAGTTTCAGCTTATGATACAGTGAGAATTATAACAAAACAGGTCTAAAGTATGGCAACATTATGTTGGGATTAATTGAATATGGAACAGTATTTTAATATCAAACGGCACTTTTAATGTACTCCAAGTTTTACACTTGCAGATTTCAGTCACTTCACTAGCTCACCCACCCCTCAATGTCTCTCCATGTTTCAGGATATTCAGATAAAAATAATAATTCCAGTATCATTCAAGTTTGATCACCCACCAACTCTGTGTTGCCTTCCCAGCAGAAGCCAGAGTGGATGACCCCTGACAAACAAAGGCAAGTGGCCAGCATGACACAAATATGTGTACAGTTAAGGGAGGCCAGAGGGAATATTGATGAGGTGCTACATTTTGTGTATTGCCAAGTCCAGTCTTCAAAAGTAAAGTAATGGCCTCTGATCTTCATGGTGAAAGGCAGATATTAGGACAAATGTACAACCTATTCTCCCCATAAGAAACAGAAGCATTGTTATTCTAAGAGCATAATAATAATAATAATAATAATAATAATTGTTCAAGGAACTTCACTATAAGGTGAATAATGTTGCAGATAGAAGACTGAGACCGAATTTTTCACTAAAGACATTTATCGAATTCATGGTAAGATCCAAACCTGGGACTTTTCAGTTGAAGCTGAGTATTTTAGCTGCTTTGTGATATCAGTTCTCCAAATAAAATGTGCTTCAAATGCAGGCAAGGTCAAATGTGTTTCAATCACCTGTGACAACTAAACTGAGCAATATTTGTTCTTTTAGTTTAAAAATGGAACCATGGTCCCAAGAGTGAGAGAAAAGAGCTTTAATCCCTAGCAAAAATTCAAATTCCCCAACTGCATGATAGAATAATCTGTTCCTGGAGATAGAATTTTAAAAAACCAAAAACACAATACTTTGGGAGGGGTGGATACTTTCTTTATGCTTAGGCCCAGGTTCTCTAACACAGAGGGATTTTTAACAAATCTGACTTTCGGCAGATGACCTCTCTTGTTTGTTCATATGTGTTTTCCAAAATATAAAAGTGAAATAGAGTCCCAAGGGCACTGTACTTGAAAGGTTATGAGAGTTAGAGATTTTAACCATGCCTGCCAAATCAGCAGATGGCTTGTGATTATAATTATATGCATCAATAAAACGAATAATCTTACAAAATTTGAATTTCTACTAAAGTAAGGGATTTAATAAGCAGATGCAACAGAATGCGTTTTCTTTAACCCTTTTCGCTGAGGCGATGGTTCACATACAGAGCAGCTAAAGCTCCGCTCAAACAAGTTGACCACAAACTTAAACATTATGCACTTTTCCTCTTTAGCAAGGGTGATCTTTTACTGAATATGTATTTTGATCGTACTCAGTCAATAATTCATCTAGTCTACTTTATGATGTTTGCTTCTTATCATAGTGGAAATGTCATTTGTACAAAAGCCATGATTAGCTGGACAAAATCTGGTAAAAATGGCATATTCGAATGATCACTTGATTGTTGCTCTGGAATTTCATCCAACAAAATTTGTATAGCTTCTAGTAGCTTGTCGTCTGTATTGGATGGTAATTTTTGTCTGTTTTTAAAAACAGGATATTATTACTATCATTTATTTATGAAAAATTAATTGTTAAACCGTTCCTTTTTGACATATTTGACATATTTATTGCATGTCCTGATAGAGAAATATGTATGTTTTCTGGAATTATTCTGATGTTAATATGAAACGTAGATGAGTAACAAGAACCTAGCATTCATACTTATATTAAATTCTGGATGCTCAGATTTGTAGTGTTTAGTGATACATCTTATAGGTATCATATAAGAAGCTGCAATTCTATCCACACATTCTTTAGGAAAGCCTCATTTAAACTCGGTGGGTCTTACTTCTAAGGAAATGTGTTTAGGATCTGGTTGCAAGAGACAAATGCAAAAGACCACATTATGTTTAAATTGCTTGGCTATTTTTACAAGCACAAAATACATAATTTGGAAAAAGGGCAATTTTGTTTGCAAATGGATTTATATCTTCATACTATAATCAAGGGACAAGAAAATGTCACTGAAGTACAATTTTGTTCAGCACTCTGAAAACATAGTCTCCTTCGGGGAGGAAAGTCCCATTTAAATGTTAGATTGTATTTGGACATTGTAAATATCTGTTTGGGTCTATAAATGCACTTTTTGATAATGCAAACTATTTCATTTAATATCACATATCTGATGCTGGCAGGGCAAATAATTCTTTGATTGCTTTTAAAGTGGCTTGTGGGGGTTGGGGGACCCCGAGAATCAACAGAGCTAGTACTCTGTATCATGTCAATTGACCTGATAGTCCATAACAGTGCCTTTGGAGCTATTACTAATTTGTCCTGCCATTCCAGCTGCTTTATAGGTATCCCAATAACAGTAGGTAGAGATGGGGTGTCTGTTCTATATAGGTGATTGCTATATGGTGATACATTTCCTGTTGCATCATGAAAAAAGTAGAAAATAAAGTTTTAACTGCAGTAAACTTTCAAAGACAAAACTTTTTTGGGTCATCAATGGCACTGTGGGGAACAAGAACCTCAAATGAAAGTCAAATGGTCTCAAATGACAGTATATTTTAGAAATACGTCTGTGATTGGAAAAACTTAGTTGTATTTTTTCAATTTGTTGGCCTACAAGAGCAAAACCAAGAGCTAATGAAAAGATGACAAAAAGTTAACTTTGAGAACAAGCTTTTGCCATAGCTAAAGATCTTGCTTTTTAGCCGTTTCAAAAGTTCGTTGTCCAAAAGTAACTTAGAGCATAGAAATATGGGTAGCTGCTCTATACAGGTTCAAGTAGTTTTCTCATTTTCTTAGCCTGGTCTAGTATGACAAGCTCCAGCTCTCCAGGGTCTGAGGCAAAGGTCTTCCCCATCACCATCTCCCTGGACATGACAAGATGTATTTTATTTTCATTTTGGCTGAGAGTTGTAAGGTTATATTTTACAACCACAAAATATTTTTTTGTTAAAGTTCTTCAAGTTTAGTGCAATTGATAAGACCCTTAAAACCCGGCGCTACTTTTTGGGTTTTTAATGCAATCAGCAAATGCTGTTTACAAACATGGAGGGACAGGATCGTCTGTATTTGAAGCCACTCTTGATTTACACAATCAGATGCCAACCCGGAGATTTAGGTTGCAACTTGCTGACCTTATGATTTGCTACATTGCATGTCACTAAACTATGCTAGTGTGCCAGCCTGTTGGTAACTGTCATGAAAAAGATTGTTTTGGAGAAAATTATGAAGCACTTGTCAGCTTCAGGCTTCTGAAATTAAAATAGTGAAAATCTCAGTGTTGGGGGGTGGGGGAATGACCCAAGAAAGCAAACTCACAGAGTTAGGAAATAAAATATACACTGATGTGAGCTGGCACTGCTGAGTTGTCTTAGCCATGGTGGGGCATCTTCCTGCCACAGTAGTTTTTGAGCACTATGCCTTGTCCCAGTTGAAAAGTGATAAAATGATGGCTGGTCTTAAAACTCATGCGGGAATGATTTTCTGTTTATCTGTCTTTGGGAAGGGAAATGCTTTTGGGGTGGGGAAGTAATGATCTTATGGAAATCATTAGACTTTTAAAATATTATCATAAGGATCTGGTGTGTATGATTTTTCTACATGCAGATTGTATGTACAATACTTATGAAAGCACGACAAGAAGTTTAACCAACACATGGCCATGAAAAGCGGCTGGGTAACTTACAGGTGCCTAAACTTAACTAATGTAAACACCATTGTTTAAAAGTGCCTACAATGCAAAAGCAATACAGTAAGAACCACTTGATGATTCTATGAAAATTCCTAATGAAAAAAGATTACGTCTATAGGTAAGAACATCACCTTACAGAGAAAATTGAATTACGCATTAATGTTAATTGGGAAAGTTCAAAATAAAACTCTAGCTGATACTTCATGTTCTGTAGTGAATTTAGTATTGCTTACTAGATACTTTTACTTTCTCAAGATAGCTGTTACTAAATAAAATAAACAGTTGTATTCCATGTTTTAGGGAATTAAACAAACATATATGTTACTGGGATACACACTTCCAAGAACATATGGTAAAATCATAATTATCAAGTATTCACACACTTCTCATTCAGCTGTCCAAGCAGAAAAAATTGAAGGTGTAAAGCACAGTTGCAGATGAACAACCTGGTACTAGCCATGTACAGATTGTTAATCATGCTATTAACATTGTTTACAATTTAACTTTTAAAATGTTCTTTAGAGAATATAAACTTACAGCAACTGGTTTGTGACAAATGTCACACACAAATTACACCTTTTGTGTGTGTTCTGTTATCTATGTCAAAATTATTGCTAACTTCACTGCAGTCTGGATTGCAGTTTTAGGTTACAATGCCCAGTACCTGTAAATAGTTGCAGGTAAGTTTGGCTGAAATGAGTGACCAAATAAATGTATTACAATTTAGGAAACCTTTGCTGAGTGAGAAAAGTTTGCATAAATAATCTGATTATTCTGACTTAGTTTTATAAATCACATGAGCAATTTTTGTTTTCCAAAATGTAGTAGCTTCTAAATTATGAAAGGAAGATTGTGGGACATGATAATGCAAAAACAACACTCTGGTCTGTGTATTTTAACATGTTTCTCAAAGGAAAATATATTATCTGATTCTCACTGTTATCAACATATTTCAGCAACTTTAGAAGAAAATATGGGATTCACCTGAAATATCTTGTAACTATAACTTGCCACATAATACCCTCCCTGACACTTGTAACTACATGTGGAGGTAAAAGTAGCAGAAAATATCTAAGGTGCATAAGCAAGACTTCATTGCAACTTCCTGTTGCCATTTTTTTCCCCAGAATAAAAAAAGAGAAGTGCATGAAAGGGATTCTTTGATCTGCTAAACTCAGTCATCACTAATGTACATACACATCACATAAACAGGCAACCACAGCTATTTTCCTCTGTATGTATTTTTTTTTAAGACCAAAACAAAAACAAAACAGCTACTGGTGTTATGCTTGCAATCAATACATCTTCACATCTTTATTTTCAGCAAAAGCAAGTGGGCAACTGAGAGCAAAATACATCATGATTTAATACTGTGTCTGAACATCCAAAATGATAAAAAGCTTCATTTTGGTACACATCATTCTAAATGTCATGCCATTTATTCAAGGGAACAAGCAGCTGAGAAGGAGGTTGAAATCTGAAATTAATACACAGTTATTTCTATAGTGTATCTTTAAAAGATTTTGGTCCTCTATAAAGCTAGAAAAATAGTGGATTCTTGTAAAGTTGGTGATAGTGCTTACTGTATTCAGATCTGTCAAAGAATGCATTTCTTCCCACAGCATCCTCTTAAGTCACAGCAACGTTAAGTTCACTGAGCATTCCATTCTGCTTTACTTTAGAAATTCAAAACTTTTGTAAAGATGACACACAGAGAAAAAGGCACTGATTCCACAGACACCCCCCCGCCCCTGTTCGGAAGTGGCACAAAAGCAATCCCTTCATTATGACCTACTTGTCCAAAACAGACTTTCAAGCTATGGTTAGGCTAAGATTTGCTCTCCTTTCCCCCAGGGCATAATTGTCAGACTGACTTACCGTGTGCCTTTTAGCCTTTGTTCTGCCTCTCGCGCTGACATCAGGGAAGCAGTGATGTAGAATAAAGCAGGGGTGGGCTAGGTTAGTCCAGTGTTTGTGTCGTTGTGTGGTGTGCAGGGACACTCTGTGATACTCTAGTGAGCTGCTAAGCTTTTTTTGTAGGCTTTGTGTCATTTACTTAACGACCAATCTCATTAGCTGCCAGGGTACAATGGGCTGATGCATTTTCTATGTACATACTCTACACAGTGACCCTCAAGGTTGCCGAAGGTCTATTTAATCAGTCAGATGCTGAATATATTTGCAGTAAATCACAAAAAAAAAAAAAATGAGACCACAGAGGTATCTCATGAGGCTTTAATGTTTCTTGGGAGTTTGTTGAATGAAAAAGGCAGCAGATTTAAATGCAAAAAAATGAGGAAGAATGAGATGGGACACTCTGTAAGGTTTGCACTAGTGACCTTTAATAATTGCAATAACTTTTGGAAACCCTGCATGTTCCTGCACTTTATTGTTATTTCCTCCATCCAGTTCATGCTTCAGTGTAACCACATTATCATCCTAAAATCCCTTTAAGAAACAGAAAAACAACAAGATGAGCAGCTTTGTCACAGGTTGGCAAAGGTGTATTTCCACCCCCACCTCCTGTCTTTCCAGGCAACCTCAGAGTTGGCATCTCTGTATTTCTACCCTCTCTTCAGTTACAAGGCATAAACCCTTTTAACTCCTATGAAAAATGAAAATGCTGAAAAGCCCTCTGAATGACGACAGCTGTCCATAAGTATCAGGGAGAGTTCTATTGTCCAACTTGTCCCTGGATAAAATGAATACTTTACAGCAGAGGCTGTTCAGCTTGGCTAAAGAGTATGGGGAGAAGGGGAGGAGGTCACTGGAGATTTCGCACACTAATTTAATCTGGGAAAAGGACAGGCACTGCATCTCACTTGAACAGACTGGCGGCAATCTGGGCTCTCACAGAACTATCTCCTTTTGCCTGTGCTCTATTTATTCCTTATCTCTGTTTACCAACCGCTAGGTCCCTTTCATTCACACCACGAGGCCGTTCTCCTACTATCAGTCAGCAGCTGACACTGTGGAAGAGCCTCAAAGGCAAAAAAAAGGGATCAAAACTAAACCAAAGCTGTATAAACAATGCAGCAGTAGAAGTAAATGCATAAATCCTAATTCTTAACCCAACCCACAGGGTGCGAACAGAACCTTTATAGTAAATCCAAGAAACCCACCACAGTGAGCTATGGGCTACAGAGGGAACAGGGGAAAGCCAAATATCATTCATGAAATCATCATCTGAGGCAGAAACACTCGCAAATGCACACATTTTGCATGCTCAACTTGGCTTGTATTATAATTGCTTTAGCGACTAAACTTTGTCACTCAGTACATTCGTCAGCAACTAATGATCATCTCATTTGCTTATACTCATATGGTTAAAAAATAAGAACGCTAAATAAAACCAGGCAATTCTTTATGGGAGCCCCCCCCCCCAAAGTTTGGATAACTTTTCATTCACTGCTGGATTTAAAAAATAGATATAAGGAAAGACAGGAAGATATATGCCAAGTTTTATATCTTTTTTCCTTTTATTTAATTTTATTAAATAGTTGTAATTCTTACTTAAATCAGTAAGTTTCATTAAAATGTCACTAGACTGTAATGTCTAACTCCTGCACAACTTTTTATAGTAGATAGGCGCAGATAAGAAAGAAGTCTCATTTTTTTAACTACAGTGAAAATTAGGGATACACACACACACACACACACACACACACACACAAACCCTTTGCTAGCATTCTGGGTGAAAGCTGGTGTGAAAGCTGACTTTTAAACTTGTATATTATATTAAGTCTTCATCCTGAATGCTAAAGGAAATTCATCACTTTGAATAGATAGGGATAACAGCTTATGTGTCTTACTTGCAGAATGAACCTAAGATGTGTTTCAGAGAGCAACAGCATACTTTCAAAGTTATATAAAACAAAGTTAACAGACAAGGAAATGGAATATAAGCCTTAAGACACAAACTGCTAAGTTTAGAAGGAAACTATACTCTTATGACTACAATTAATTCTTAAAAATGAAAATAATGGTTCACATAATTCAAAACATGTTAGATACATTTTCAGGATTGTTGGAAAAATAGTGACAAAAATATTGCTCATTATCAAAGATGATCTATTATGCCAAATTTCAGTTCTGATTTCCACCTATATGCATTATGAGCAATGAAGTCTTTACTACTTGGATCCTTTTTTCCAAATGAATTAATGAATTAAATTTATCCTTTCACCAGCTGCTAGGCAGCAGATGGAACCATTTCTGAAGCCTTGTTGAATTCAATCCATAAAACTCATTTCCTAGGATTAGCAGTCCAAAGTTTCTTTTAATGTTTATATACCGCTTGGGATTTTAAATTTCACGATGCTAAACTTTCTGCTTAATAATTGTCCCTCTCCCATCAATT